GAACAAGCAGAAAACACAATGTTGACATATGATCGTCTTATAGAACCGTTATGGTAAAAAGTTGATTATTTTTCGGTCTGTAGTGACGCGGAGCAACGTTAGCATTAATGCAAAGTCACGTCTCTGACGGATGCTAAACGTTACAATGCTCAGCAGCTAGTCGCTAACACTGTCTCTGTCTTGTAGTGGACAGGAAGTGGTTAAAGGACGATCAGAAAAATCACAAACTAACAGAAGCTAAAAGACTCAGAACAAACTTTTATTCTTTTAGTTTTTACTCCTTAAGTTTTTACTGCAGCGAGTGTTTTAATCTGATGATCAACAACATCACAATCATCCAGGATTCAGGATGACATCATATTTAAAGGACCAATATATTAGTTATTAATTTTTACATTTACATACGTGACCTGTAAACCAACTCATGTTTCACTCACTATGTATCTCTCATATTTTCAGTTATTGCTAATATTCACTGGACTGATGATCAGCAATAATATCTTCATTGTGTGTGTGTGTGTGTGTGTGTGTGTGTGTGTGTGTGTGTGTGTGCGTGTGTGACGGGCTGTTTATGAGCAGTTGTCCAGACTTGCTGAGGAGGATGTTTGCTGATGGTCTTTGCTCAGTCTGCAGCGGTAAACAGGTCCTGCTGGGCTCAGGGCCATCTCTGCCCACTCAGTTATGGTGTGTGTAGGTGTGTGTGTGTGTGTGTAGGTGTGTGTGTGTGTGTAGGTGTGTGTGTGTTGATCTGAGGACCCAGGGCTGACTGAAGCCTTTGTCCTCCAAGATGGCTGATCCACTCTGTACACCTCAGCCTGCAGCCTGTGTTGGCCTTCACTAATTGACAATTGGAGTTTGACTTTGCACACCGTCGTCCTCCTCCTCCTCCTCCTCCTCCTCCTCCTCTGGAAGTGTGTGTTCCAAATACGCTTTACAGAGTGTGCCCAGCACCCAGGTGTGGAGGATGGAGGACTCTGAACAACAGATGCAGATGTTGGGTTGGGTCGTCGTTGCCTAACTGTGGCTGAAGTTATTTTTCGTTTTCATCTGTTTGAGTGACAGAAATAGAATTTATTGACGGACAGAAACGGGACTGAGGTCAAACTTTTAGCTTTTTATCCGATGAGGCAGTCGTGAAAATCAAAAATCTGGCAGGTGAAGAAAAACCTGCCAGCCTCCCGTCCCATCTCCGTCCCCTCACGTATCCCTCCCCTCCACTTCCAGGAATAATCCGGCGAGCGGCGCCTCACGGAAGAAGAAGAGGAGGGCGACGCGGCCTCCGCAAACACCACAATTATGATATTGAGTCACATTGTGCGAGGCCGAGCACGTTGATTTATGAGGGGCCGCTGCCAAAAAACAAGTCGAGGAGTCTGGAACAGCGAGTCAGCGCAGTGGCGTGGGGGGGAGGGGTGTGTGTGTGTGTGTGTGTGTGTGTGTTTGCAGACTGCCCCCTCGTCCACCCCTAAACCCCGTCCCTCTGATGTCTGTGTGTCTTCGTTAATGAAGAAATTCTGGTACCTTGGTGAGACATTGCTCTCAGCTGAGCAGACTCTGCCTCCTCGGTGCCCTCTGTACAGTCACACAGCCGCCCCACCCAACCGCAATCCCATCATGCCTCTGGGCTTCGCCTCCCTCGCTGAAGCAGCTGAAAGGGAACTTCTGGAAGTTTTTCTGCCAACACATTCTCAGTTTGCTGATTTCAGAAACAAAAAACAAGAAACTGATCACTGACAAGATATCTTCTTTAACTTCCAACCCACCTGACACTAACAAGCTAAAAGGACCAAACCAGAGTTTTGGCGTATGACATTAAAACCCAAATTTGATCCGAGCCCATCGGGTTAAAGTCTGATGGTAGAACTCCTGAACGCAGCACAGTGTTTAGACAGAGGGGGGGGGGGGATAAATGGAAACCAACACCTGCCCTGGAAACGAGGATTTATCTAAAGCTGCTCTCAACAATATTTATATATTAACAATGGATAAAAATGAACTATGTATAAAGTGAAAGGCGTGACTCATAATGATGCTTTTGTTTCGCAGCTCACTATTTAAGTGTTTCGTGAAGTTTGTTGAGTCTCAAGCAAAAACACAGAGAGAGAGAGAGACAAAGTGAAGAACTGGCAGGTGAACACAGTGGAGCATTTAGCAGCTAAACAGTCAGATGTTTCCTTCAGACCAAGAACAGGGAGATACTGGACTTACATCCGCCAGGCGACCGAAGACACGACTTGAGATGAAAGCTATAGTTCTCCATATCAACTCTTATGTCCTGCTAACGTGTTAATATGTCAGTGTCGTGTCTACAGTTTGTTGAGCTGCCCCCCCCCCCCCTCTGTGGCAGGCAGAGAGAAAATATAATAATAATAATGGAGTAGACCAACACCTGAACTATATAAATGAACGTCCTGTAATTCATCCTATGTGGTAACATACCTGAGGGGCCTAAAACATGGAGACCTGCGCTCTGCAATCAGGAGACAAGTCTTTACAAAAACACTACAGTCCCCGATGAGACAGATGTGCCAAGAGTGTTTTTGAACAACATGAGCAATTTCACACATTAGGAGGACTTGCTAGCCGGCATAAGCTAATGTATGTTTCCTCCGGTCGCCACAGTGATGGTGACAGCCTCTCACCATCCTGACAGGTCCAGTCCAAGTTAGCTGTGGACAGTCACACGAGCGGGGAAGACTTGTAAGCAAACTGGTCCTCAGTGAAGTAACATTTAGCAGAGGTGCATGATATCCAGTGTGGTCTGAGTGAGAAACCATGTTCTTCACTCGGTGGTAGGTGTACGACGATTATCCTCGGGGGGTTTGAAAACAATGTCGTGTAGAGTCAGTGATACATCGCTGGAGTCAAGCATCAGTTTACATGTATTTTCATATGTATTCTGTTTTGTGTTTGTGCATATTAAGTGTGTTATTGTGCGTTTGTGAAAAAATGCTACTGGTATTATATATTTTCACTCATCTCCATAAATTGTGATTAACTTCCTTCCTTCTTGCAAAATATTAGTAGTAGTATCAATGTTTTGTCATTAATACCTTTAAATGTACTTTTTCCCTGTTGATGCTGCCCATCTGTATTTATACGGTCATGTCAATAAACCCTCAGCTGCACTGTAACTGCAGATAGAAATTAGCTACTAGCTAAAAGCTACAAGCATCTTTTCTCTTTTTTGTGATTTTGTACGTGGTCCCTGATACAAATAAAATAAATAAAACATTTAATCAAAATTAAAAAATTAAAATACCTGGGCATGCCGAGCTCCTCACCCACTAGCTAGCTAACTAGCTACTAGCATAACGCACCATTCTTTGATCAAACTGTTGAGTCGAGGTGCATTGTGGGTAATGTAGCCACCGTGTTTTGACAAGGAAGATGAATCAGTGGAATAAAAACTACAACATCTCTAGTACACCTGCATCAATTTTTCTTTTTAAACTCTTCATCGTGACATTAAAGGAGTGTGATGCTACATGTAGAACACACTCTTAAAAATATTAACTATTCATCAAATTTCTTTTAACTTAAAATGTTCCTAATTTAAAAGGTATTTTAAATTATAAAATAATAAAATAAAATAATTTTTAATTATTATCTCACTGATATCGACGTCACTGTTTAATGTTTTCCTTCTGCTGCTGCTTTACATTAAAAGCATTTAATCGAGTAACCAGGACTTAAATTAAACGAGTTCCACAGAGCTCCACGGGTCCTTTAAGTCGCTTAGATCCTTTATGAGTGCCGTGCACAGACGGAGGTGAACGCACACTTTCTGAGACTTGCTTTGGAGTTACTGAGCAACATATTATTACTCATAACCCTGAAGCAATGTGTGAAGTAATATAATATGCATAAATCAGAATAATCTCAGCTAATACGAGTTGCAGCTGCTGCATTCTTATAAGCTGTTGTGTTATTTCCCCATTGCAACCAAACTCCTGTTGTTTCATCAGTGTTTTCATTATTGTGATTAATATAAATACTATAATGTTACTATTATAAATATATCAGATTACAGGGATGTTAACATGTTCAAAGCTACACACAAAAAAAAAATATAAAAAATACGTTTGTGCAGAATAAAGTATGAGAGAAATTATGGTTAAATTCTGATGGATTATGGGTAGGATGAATAATAAATTCTTGCATCTGACTGGCAATAACTGCCCTGTGCACATGTGATTACTCATGTGATCACTTGCTCTTTAAAGTTGCTCCAACACTAGAAGGAGTAAGTCACTTGAAAAAGGCGCCTTCATTATAATTTATAATTCACAGAAGTTTGAGCCCTTATTTGCCTCCCAGATCTCAATTTGTTCATTTCAAATTATGAGATAAATTATAATTTCTTCCACTTGAGGATCATCTTCTTATGACGATCCATCACATTAATAAGCTCACTGCACTTTAACTAAAACCAGGTAACACTCAGCCTCTTTACTCTTTCAGGAAAACACTGCTGCTCCCTTGTGGTTGAAAACTGAAACCCTTTAGAAATCTGTGCTGCGTCTCTCTGATGTCTGCACATTTAATTGGTAAACACACACAACTGCAAATATTTCTCAGTATTTGACTGTTTTGAAGTGACGCGTTTTAAATATACACTTAAAAATCTGTGACATCCACGTCAGGACTTCCACTATTATGCAATTCACCTGGTGCGAGGTGACTTTCAGGAAAACTTGTTCTCAATATCGGCCAGTGGCCTTTGGATGCGATCCAAACATAACACATGGCTGAGTTCAGTGACTCACAGCGCTGGTAAAAATCACTTCTCTTGGCCTTGAACTCTTCAGGGTTGTGAACTTTCAAATTCACAGGCAGTAAAGACACTAAAGTGAGCAGGAAAAAAAAAAGTTGCATTTAAACTTTACAGCTTAGTTTTTTTTTCTTTTTTCCATTGAATTCTGCTCGTTCAGAGAAGTGACAGCTCAGGTGAGGTGTTCAACCTCGTGCACTAAATATAATCACTCACATGGCATCACTCTGATTTTAGATTCATTTACTAAAAAAAAAGAAATCCAGACACATCTTTAAATATTCGCACGACATGCAAAGGGAGAATGTGGGCGTTACAGTCATCGCACCTGTTCCCGTAACACGAGAACACATGAAGAGAAGACGTGGAGGGAGGTTTGTTTGGCGCCTGACGTTGGCTCCGACGCGATTCACATGATCTCGATGTGGACTCTACGACAGCAGAGTTTCAGCTGAATTTGGCTTTAGAGAAATCCATCTCCGGGTGCTGAGCCATGAACCTGCAGCGACAGAGACAAGGGAACAGTTAACACGTCGCCACCAAAGCAAGACGCACTTTTATTTAAAATCTGATTTCCAACAACTTTTTAATGCATCTTGTTCAATTCGTTAAAAAAAAGTTGGTTAATTGGTTGGTTTCTCTTCATGTCTTTATTCCTAATATCACAAACACAACTGGTTTGCCTCTGTTAAAACTTTCCTCTTGCTCTGTAGCACCTCCTTCTGGACGACGAGTGAATCTTCTCAACCAGTAAATGATCCCTCTGAGGTGACACCGTCAGACGACACATTCGACTGGACAGACACGATGTGAACTTTGTGTCAATAAAAAGAAACTACGAGACGAGTTATCTCCACGGCTGTATTGTTTAACTCTTATAAAACTGCACAGGAGCTTTTTTACAGGCAGCTTTTAAAGAGCTTGTAGAGGAAGTGGACTCGAACATAACGAGCAGACAGTTGAGCCGCGGAGGAGGGAGAGGGGTCGTGACAGGAGAGCGTCCTTCATGTCTGTGCCAGCTCCGACGTTAGCCCACATCCAGGATTTTATCTCAGTTAGCTGCTGCGCTGTGTAATATTTGACATGACATGACAGGCTGTCCCACAAGGACTACCGACTCCATAAAACACTCGACAAAGAATAATCCAGCTCGGAGGGAGAATCACCCTCCGTTAATACGCAGATTAAAGCAGCACAGTGGTGGTTTAATGTTTCTGACCTTTGACTATGAATGGGATCTACTTCACTTTATGGCTGACCATTGTCTTTAAGTATACGTGGTTTTACTCTTGAGATAGTCTTTGGTTTCAGTTCAGCCTGCAGAGACTTGAAGCTTGTTGGACCGAGGAAATTCAGCACAGGGAACAACATCTCAATCTCCACCCCTCACAGACTTGGAGGCGCATTTGCTGTGAGTTTGTGAGGGTCACTGTCAAACCATCGAGGGCACGAGGGCTCTCTAGCAGCAACACTTTGAGCCCTTTATGCACACTTTCTGTAAGACCGCATTTCTGCAGACTCTGCCTGAGACAGTCACATGTTGTGGAGTGCACGGCACAAGCTGCTTCAGGCTCTTTTACTACCTACAGCAGGTGAGCCTGGCCTTGAGCAGAAGGAGGTGACTAAACTACACAGGCATCTTTCAGATTCACAGCTCTTATAAAATAAAGCTTTGTGCACCATAAAGCTCCCGTTAGACGCACTCTGACTACGCCGTCTGCTTTGAAGAGTTACTGTCAAAAAGATCTTTACAGTTCCGTGATCAAGCCTGAGCTAAACAGAACAGGTGTATTGTTCGCAGGTGATGTAACTTACTTTTTAAGGATGTCTTGTTTCTTCTGCTCTTCAGACGTAGGCAGCCCCATTGATTTCTGCCTTTGGTCATACATCATCTTCTCCACCATACCACGCGTCTCTCCATCCAGGTCTGACAGCTGCTCAGCAGGAAACACACACAGGGGAGGGAGGGGGGGGTTATAGAGCGGGAAAACTAAGGAGTGCTTGTCAGTAATCTTTTTTTGTCACTTTTATTAAACACACAGTTGCTGCTAAAGGCTTAAACATGGCGCCTGTTACCTTTGAGTTCTCTGGACAGATTTTCTTGGTGTTGATTTCTGGATCTGTGGTAACGATCTTACTCCACCACTCCATTTTATTAATCTGAAGTTAAAGGAAAGACTCGAATGAAACCAGGCACGTCATTACAGCTGAGGAGACGCATAACTAAAAAGGCCGGGATCCGTCCACAGCGACTCGTCTCTCACCTTCTCCAGGTGCACTGTGACCACCTTGCCGTCGTCGATGAGCCAGGAGCTTTCCTCCACCTTCACCTCGTTGTAGAGCTGCCCTTCAATAACAGGAGGGTGTCCTTTCAGGCCGACTTTGATGGAGCGTCGCTGGATGTCCACCACCACGTCTCTCCCCTTGATGCGGAACTTCACGTCAAACGGCAGGGCCAGCTGTGGGAGGAGGGTACCAGCAGTAACACACGTTAGATTCTGGTTAATTCGCAGAGACACGGAGGTGGAATCACTTCGTCTGGATCGGACACGGTGGATTTACAGCTGACAGACTATGTTATCATATCTGTCATTCTTTTGTTGGATTTGGTTCATTTATGTACAAACCAGGAGTGTGATAGTCACATTGCTAAAACTAGTTTATGACAAATCATATAAATAGTTAAAGTGTTACCTACTGATTGAATAAACTAAATCCACTTGTAATGGCGAACCAGTGTTTCTCAGTAAAGCCACGCAAAGAGTTTCCCACAGGAGGATGCCAATAGTTGAGGTAGTAAATTACATTAAATGATGTTAATATCAAGTGTAATATTGTTTGAAATTGCAAATATAAAAGGAGTAAATTCATTAACTTGCTGCGTGAACTGAATAAGCGAGTAAAAAAACAAAACAATCGTCCTCCATCGGCACAACCCTGGTGTGAACGCACCCAAGATGCATTGAGGACGCATTCGGAGGTGGTCTGGGCCACAGGTGTCCACATTCTTTTGGCAGTGTGAACGCTACTACTCTACCAACGTCTCCCGCCCCAGTTTCATAGGCCCTGTTCCGACCTGGTATTAAGATCCGATCACAAGTGGACAGCTCTCGGTTCGTCAGTTCACACCCGGCTTTAAAATGCGTCTCCACATGCGTCTCGATTGACCACTTTAGATCGGATCTCACTTCCCCGCTTTCTATGCAAATAACTAAAATAACAAAAACTGCAGTTCTTCGAATGGCCGCTTGAGTCTGGCTCCAAAAGCGGGTCAATCCTCACAGACTCCCACGTTAAAACGTCCAACTTTACAGCAGAAATAAACACGTTTCCAGCCTGGTACAAAAAACAGTTTTGGTCTCCGTGGCTAATTTCCTCCTTCATGAGGTTTAAAGTTCTGCATAACTGAGGGCGTGCTGCTTTGAGTGACAGGTGGGTGAGCATACAGCGAAATCTCGGCTTGACACGTGCCCCTCCTCTTTGCCCATTTTTGGATTACCTGGGAACTAGGGGCGGAGTCAGGTACTGGCAAGAGGGCGATGACGGAACGGCCCACTCTGAGCTTCAAAACCGCTCTCCAGAAACCCATGGGTGACGTCACGGAGGCTACGTCCATCTTTATTTACAGTCTACGGTGTGTGAGAGCGAGCGAAAGAGAGCGAGCGGGTCACGGAGGGGTTATTTGCATATAACGCGGGGAAGTGAGATCCAATCACAAGTGGTCAATGGAGACGCATGTGGAGACGCATTTTAAAGTCAGGTGTGAACTGACGTTAGAGCTGTCCACTTGTGATCGGATCACTGAAGACGCATGTTAATACTAGAGCTGACCGATTAATATATAACACGTCATCACGATATGAACATGTGCAATTAACACATCGCAAAAGACTGAAACGCGATGAATTAGAAAAAAACATTTTATTTACACACGCCGTGCGGTCACAGGGTTTTCAAGGTGCAGCGCCAGTCTGAGACAGCAGCCCCTCCTCTCAGCGGCGTTACCTGCAGCAGAGGGAGGAGGACGGAGGAGATGACTGACAGTGTCTGTGTTCTTCATTCAGCTTAGCTCAGCAGAACTGTGCGCGCACACTTCAATATTTGTTTATTTATCGCAAGTAATACCGTCATTGCAAAATTGAACAGTGTCATCGCTCACGGCAAATTTTCCTCAGATGGTGCGGGTCTACTGTGAGGCGTAAAATACGGAGACTGGATTCCACATAAAAGAGATTGTGCAATCTATTCTGTATGACAACGCCTTTCCTACTCAGTAAATGGAGAAAGCGATGTCAGTAGTTATTTGCTCACAACAACATTTTCAGGCGAAAGTCTGAATCTAAATATGAGCTCATAAGAGAGCAACGTTAAAAATGGACATTATTGGGTCGACAAATGGAACATGGGCAAAGCAGTCGCTCATCTTTCACACCTATTACAGATGAATGGTCAAGAAAGGAGGCGAGGACTTGTCGCATGATGTCACTGTCGAAAACATCTGGCTGCCTGAGCAGGAAGATGATCAGTAACACCTCCTGAGAGGCTTAGATGGTGAAACAGAAGGATTCCACAGAAATGATAAGTCAAAGCTTTATCCTGAGGTCAGAAGGAACTCACATCCACTTCACACAGGGTCTGTGTCCACTTGTAGGTGGGCAGATCCGCTCCATTTCCTGCGTTAGGCTTCAGTTTGTCTTTGTCCTTCTCATCTTCCTCTCCTTCTGAGTCAGACTGCGGACAAGGAAATTAAGACGGGTAAATCAGCAGAAGCAGATTTAACTGCTCATGGACACTAAACTGTTTAACCGACTGTTCACTCACCCCCTTCTCTTTTTCTTCTTTGTGAGATGGCTGTTCGACGTTTGTTGGTGCGTTCTCCTGTTTCTCTTCTTCTTTCTTTTTCTATAACACACCAAAAATAAATACATAAATTAATCAATGTAACAGAACAACTGCAGTTATTCCTGTGACAGAGCATCAGAGCACCCAAATGTCACCTCGTCAAGTTCAGACTGAAGTTTCTCTGCTTCCTCATCAGTCAGTTCCTGAATTCTGGGACCGTCTTCATTTTTCTTTTCTTTCCTCTCTTCCTCTGCTAGCTTGGCAGCTCTTTCGGCTCTCTCTTTCTTTTCCTTCTCCTCTTTCACCTGCTTCTCTTTGTGGACCTTCATCGCCAGCTTACTGTGGTGGGCATAAGCATCTTTTACTAACTGAAAAGGAGAGAAATAAGCCATGAGTGAAGATGTGCCTATGTTACTATATCATACAGCATAGTCTCAAATGTTATAGAGGCTGTGTTTACAGTGATGTTACTCACCTTCTCTGCAGCACCTGCATCGCCACCGGTGAAGAAATCAGTTTTGCGACGGAGGAAGCTGAAAAATGTGTTTACTAACTGTAAAGAGAAAAACAAACCATCACAAACAATAAAACAGAATAATGAAAGAAACCTATTGAGCTTGATCATCTCCATCCTTCTACTGACTCTCAGCCTTTTGACAATTAAACATTTCCTTTATTATTAGCTAAGAAATGTGTGTTAATGGAGGGGGGGGGGGTAATGATCCTTCTAGAAATTTCAGCCACTTGAAGCCACTTAGTTAAGACCCAGTAACTCATTGCTATATACAAATGTTAAACTGGAACGTTATTCAGGAAAATAAGCCATGTACAAAATGGGTTTTTAGCAACAATTAAGAGATTTTATTGAAATGCCCTGCTGCTTTATTAGTCACATGTAAGTCAAATTCACTACAACACCTCATCGATGACAGACGTAAGGTTGTGATCTGTTCAGCATGAGACGTTTTCATAATGACACCTTAGTTTAAACCGTTAAAAGAGCTGAAAACATTTGCTTTGACGTTATTTCAATGCTAACAGACGAGGTGTGCCCACTAGCTTACAGGCTAACTACATTAGCTTCTACACTGGCACGAAAGCATTAGCACGTTAGCAATAGAGTGAATTACCTCCTGTACCCCTCCTTCATGTTGTTGCGCCATAACCAGCAACATCCCGTCATACTTTTCTTCATCGTCTCCCATGTTTGTGAGATAAGAAAAGGTTAAATAAAAATGTTAGCTAACGGAATGACGAGCCGAAAAGTTGAGTTAGCGACAATGTGAGGGCCGTAGTCGCGCCACTTACTTCCTGGAAACAAGCCCCGCCCATGCTTGTTTGGGCCAATTGGAGTAAGGAATTTTAAATGACAGCTGAACTTACCAATAAAGTGAGTGCTGGTGTCAGGAAGGGACTGATGCGCCCGGTAAGAATGAGAACTTTCTAGAGGAAAAAAAAAATCGAAAATAATGATTTTATTGTAAATATGATTTTAAGCGATTGTATGTTAACCGTCATTATTTTGTAATGAAATTAATTTTTTTAATTAATTTTTAATTAATTTCTCAGTATATTAACTCTAAATGAATAAAAAATGTTGCTTCCCTTAGAGTAAGATAACCCAGTCGCATTAAATTTAATGACATTTATTATACTGACAGAATGTAAGAACTATTTAGTCCAGTTTTGGTGAAATCAGTTTGAAATTTCCCTCATTTAAGCAATATCACCTGTGTGGACTAGAAACTGGACTGGACTGGACTGTTGCTAAGCAACGCAAACATTTTCCTGACCTGACGATGTCACATGACTGCACCTAGAGGTGTACGCTGAAGTATCCAGGCTTATTTTCTTCTCTTCATCTTCTTCCCACGACCATACATAATTTAATTCAAATGTTATTTCTGGAAACATATACATCTTTGCAAAGTTTGTTACAATCTAAGATAGATGACGACCGTTACTGTAACGCTAATAAACGGTTAGTAGAACACCTGGAAAGCGGAGTGATACATGTAGTTAAAGGTCCCAGTGCTTTTGTATATATCAGCACTGATGGAATGTGTCTCGTCCAATCAAATTACTTGGTCGGAACTAACTGTCGTATAATGTATTCTAATCAGTAAACTCGGCTACAATTTGTGGTCATTACTAGTAAATACAATGAGCAAAGATGTTACGATATAAAACAGATCATATTGTGGTCTTGCAATTCTGTTTGCCTGGGCTGAAACTACCAAGATCAGTTAAAGCAAGTGACTAAAATTACCAGAATAGAGTGAAGGAAGTTATCTGAGAGTTATGGTTTTAGAAGTGAACCAAGCATAAAGTTATGTGATACCCTTCTAAACTTGGGACGTTGCACATTTTCATATATCACCTGTACAGTAATTATGTACACTTTATTCTTATCTGCTGCACCCATGGTTATTGATTAATATGATCCGTCTAACATCAGAGGCCATGACTTCTCGATTCAATAGCTCTCCAGTCTCTACTTCAAAGGAACACAACAGGACAACAACTGAGATTAGGTAAAGACATTTATTTATTGACTACTACTACAGGATAAATGCAATATTTGATAATCTGCGAGATGAAAAGTTGGGAAAAAGAACAGTGTAATCAATAGCGGATAAAACAAACAGTGTAATGAATTGGGAAATGGTGGGAGAGAACATGTTTTGACTATTTACTATATGGCTATAAATGATACTAAGACATCTACTAGTGAAATTTAATGGTAAAATAATATCTTGACATCAACCCAGTCATGAGCAGTATATTAAGATCTAAACTACTTGTGGGTTGCGCTGTAGCTGGATATTTTCTTGTTGGAAGCCACAAGGCTGAAAAGCAATGTGTGAAATATCACTGCAGTTTTATTCCTGGCTGGAGGCTGGCATAGGTTTCAGCAGTGGTACCTGTCTTCTCCTTTCGTTTCAGACTAGGGGAGCAAGTAATTTTCTATAGAACTTTTCAATTGTTTAATCTGGAGGTTACTAACAATATCCCACATCCACCTTCCACCATGACCCATCAAAACATTAAATGAAAGAACATATAAACCGAATGGCGCTAATAATGACAGAAAGGACATACAAATGTGGATTTCATATTATATCATTGAAAACCTTAATTGAGCATAATACAAGTGGTTAACTGGTCAAACAACATAATGAATGTTTCCCAAAGCTAACAGTAAATAAATGTGGGTTACACAGTAGTCCTTTGATTATAATAATAAAAAAACATTATTGTGAAAGTTTAATGTCTGTTACTTTGTATAAAAGATGCTGACAGTATGGTCACACAAAAGATATTGTCTTAAAATACATCTGTTACAGTTCGTCCATTTTATAGGGTAGAACTCTTGTGCTTGAGCTATTACATAAAAACACCACATGGGTTACAAAATAGTTGGATAGTTTAATATTATTTCAGAAATAAGAAATATGTGTATAAAAAGAGTTAACTGCTGGTTACTAGTCAGGATCAGAATATGGCTGGTGATGGCAGTGTTATCTAAACTTTAGCTAACAATCATCACAAACACTAGTTTGTGTGCGCATGTGTGACACAGAGCGTTCAGGATTCACACCTTATTTATAATCACGTTCCTTTTGGTGTTACTTTGGTGTTACCAATCAAATACAGATATTGAGATGGTCATATTTTTTAAAAATTGAGATTTTGGTTGTTTACTCCAATTTTGCCAAGTGACCATTTGTTGATCTTCTGGAGCTGACCATCTGATCCATGGTCCGGTTGTACATCTCTCTGATGTGCTAAAAGCTGGACTGTTTCCTATCCATTTGATAGTTTGCTGGTGGGAAGAGTAAGAGGGGTGACATTTTTGGGTCCATAATTCTACATCATAACCATTAGGTATACTGACATACAACATGCCATATTATTAATGCACTTTGAGTTAGAGGTAAATTCAGTTATAAATTCATAAAACTCAATCCTGTTAATTTTTTATCATTACAGATGTGTCCGATAGCACTTGAGAACGTTGACTGATATTTTGGTGTTTGCCATGTGAAATGACAAAAATGTTTTAGGGTGGATTTTACATTGAGGGCATTGAGGCTTATTTGATTTGATTAAGTCCAGCCTAATTTAGGGACACAATGTCAACTGGTTTAGCAAATTTGTCAAACTAACTTTAGCCATTCAGATAAAATGTTGTTGTTGTATATCAACTCAAAGAATAATAAAGTATAATAATAAAGTATTTGAAAAATAAGCAAATGATTACATTTACATTTCTCAGTTAAATAATGTGACAACATTAACTTGTACTCAGTGTAATAGCTGACTTTTCCCCCATTATTCCCATTATTCTCACTGGCATACTGTATTTATTGTATGTGGAACTGATGTACACTTGTAGCTCCCAACTTTTTGCTACACACTGGTCTCCTGAATTTGATTTGAACGATACTCTGTCACCATTTTCTTCATGTCATGGTCTGGCTTAAGATCAGTTCTTCTGAGCATGGTGTTTGGGGTGGCAAATGGATCATATCTGCTTCTGTAAAAGAGTGTTCAGTCACTGAGAAATGCACAATAGTACATTTGAACCTTACTGCCTTTCTTTTTGACGATTTGTAACAATACTGACTACTCATGGTCATACTAACATATTAACATATGCTTATCATGTGTAACACACTGCATTGGTCCCAACTGACAACACGAAGAAGGAAAAACAAATTAGATACATACAGTACTTTAAAGTTGGAAAGTGGGAGGAGTGGCTGGTTCTGAAATTAACTTTCCCCTCTGTAAATTCCCATTTCAAAGTTTTCCCTTAATTACCTCCATGATGTTCCTCAAGATTTTCTGGATAATATAATGATACTGATTGTTTTTAATATGACCAAAAGTTTTAATTATTTCAACTTGATTCCTCAGAAACTTCTGTTCTTTTCTTATAGTTTTGTATGATAAATAATGAACTGACTTACTTTTTGAGGTATTTCTCAATGGCCTTCCGTTCATACACTGTTCCATGTCTTGTTTTCACAGGATCAACAAATATCTTCTTGGTGAGTGGGCAGATGAGATGGTTGGGTACAAACTGAGTCACAGGCTCCACCAATTTCTTTCACATCAGAAGTAGAGAGTAAGTATTAAGAGGTTACAGTTCTTTAAATGTGTAGAATGTGATACATTATATGCATGTTAATGTGTATAATGTAGCTCTTGTAGCAGTGTCTCCAATTTGAGTCCAGCTGGGGACATTTGTTGTATCTCTCTCTCCCTTGTTTCCTGTCATTTCTCTATGTGCACTATCTATGCATACTCTTCAGCAAAACAAGAACCACCAAAGTCCTGGTTTTGAAACCAAATCTTTGAACATGCTAGTAACCCATAAGTACGACTTAATATCTTTTAATTATAACTTAGCATCACATTGTTATAATCTAGTATATCATAATTATGAGATAGAGAGAAGATACAATCTTTGAGTTTTAGTTATTTATAACTTCAGTTGTTTGCACGCTTTATTGTCAAGTTCCTTACATTTTTCCTTTACCCTGTAGAACCTTTCAAAATACTATAGTTAGTTTACCTTCTCCATAACATCCAGTGATTGCGCAGCAGTTTCCTCAGTGTGTTTTTTGGCCTGTTCTTCATAAACCTTTTGGCTGGTCATGAATTCCTCAGCCAGAATGCTTCCACAAAAAGGACATATATTTTACTCAAATGTTTCATTAACCTAACAACAAATGAATATGCTGTTTGCACAAACATGTTACAAATTTCCTTCATACAGTATATTTATGAAGTTCATACTTTTATTTTTCCCCTACATTGGTGCTTTCAGGGCAGGGCACCAAAAGTTATGTAGAAAGTCTGTGGTCTCTTATTTCATGACAACATGGTTCAGTGTTGTATGTACTGTACGTAGTATGGGCTGATGGAAAGAGTAGCAAGTATGTGGACAAAGCAACTGATAATTATTTTTACATTAGATTAGATTTTTCTGTCATCAGCAGTACATGTACAGTATACCTTGTGACTATATCCAGCTTTCTCCTCATTTAATTCATCATACTATGTATTTTTTTCAAGTGTAAGAGGACAATGATTAGACAATGTGTGATGCAGCAGCTGTGTGGCTGTACCTGACAAATGTACATAATTTATCAGGTATATTCTGTTTATGCTAACACAGTCTTAAGATGAAGCCTAATGATGTGTGGGTGTACCATGGGTGTGTGTAGGGGCTGTCTTACCTGTCCAATGGATCTTGAGGCTCAGGGACAATCAGCAGTCCATACACAGCATCAAGGATATCTCTCATGGTGATTAGTGAATTGTAGTTCCGGTCAAATATGTTGTGGCAGATGCGCCCCACACTGTTGATATTGCAGTGGTAGATCTTTTTTCATGTTAAGAAAATGATACAATACAATTAAAGCACATACATTACTTACAATTATAGTAATTGTCAGGTTATATTTCTTTGTTAGAGATTACACAGTGCTTTTGGAAACACTAGTACCAGTACACTACTTTGTATTTACCTAAAAAAAAATTAAATAGGAAAATACAGAACAATACCAATAAAGCTCTTAATATAGTATGTTTCAACTTTATTTATTTGACAGGATACGCGTGTGACAAAGCGAACAGTTGGAGGCTTCACCGGGTAGTCAGAACCAAACTGGCAAAAGAGCTCAAAGACTCCTTTCTCATAAGGTGTGTCAGGAGGTCCTTCCATGAGAATCTTCCAGAATGCTAAAAGTTTAAAATAAGATAGAACAGTTCACATCCAATATTTATTTGAATAAAATGAGTGTTGATATACTACAGACGCCTTTACACACTTTGAATTTGGTTTAAAATATGAACACAAAATTTTAATGCACTACATCTGGACAAAAAACCAGAGAGAGATAATAATTATTTCTAAAAGAAGTCCATATAGTGTGTTCCAGTATGTGAAAAGTCTTTGCCATGTCAAAAAAGAAACTATTCAACATAAAATAATGGAATAAATATACAATAAAAATGTAAGGAAAAAAAAGAGGAAAAAAACAAGGGATAAAAAAGTTTGGATAAAACAATTTTCAAGAAAACATGCCACTTACTGAAGTCAGATTCAGATGGAAAGACATTAAAGTAGGGATGTGGGTGACAATGGAGGCTCTTCAGCTCCTCCATGATACGTCTGTCCTTTTCCATGAAACGTCCATCTTTGGCCTCCAGGATCTTCTTTTTCAGCACACTAGTTTGAAAGATTAGTGCTTTAGAATTAATACAATTTTGTAATAGTTTAAAATATAGACAGCTAAGTGTGATGTCCATGTACTTACAGCAAGAGAAAACAAGTTTGGAATTATAGGTATTACAATAGGAGGGACATAAGCTATTTACCCAGGGTAACAGACTTTACCATGCCAGCTCCCTAGTATAAAGTCTGTGTAAAATCCAATTTAGCTGACATAGTAATCCTCTGAAGAATCATCGTCCAACATAGTAACCTGCTGCAGTTGAAGCATATTCCAACTATGTATGAAAGAAGCCTATTCTGTCACTTACCTTTCTGTCACTGTCACTTTACTGCACATTTGGCTTGGTAAGGTAGCCTCTGGAAATTCATCGTATCCATGAGTAGCAAAGAACCCTGTTAAAAGACTCTGGAAAAATAACAAATGGACATAAACCAGGATATCATTGTAATTTGTGATGTTGATGATTGTTGCTAATAGATTACTGTGATGCACTCTCATTTTCTGAGCAATTCAAACAGTATCGTGGACAACAATCAGTGTACTAACTTCAGTGATGGAGGATGGGTCAGCTTTGTTCTTGGGTTTCCTTATCTCCAAAGAAAGAACAGTCTCTATCTCAAAAAGCTTGAGACCATCTTTGCTTGTCTTTGGATTGAAACAGCAACCCCCTAAAAGAAAGACAGTTTAAAAATTGTGTGTGTGTGTGTGCTGATGTGGTGGTTGTGTAGTGTATTTAAAACCTGGAATAAGGACTTTGCTGCCCATATTTGCCATTGGCTCCTGATTTTGGTCAACTAGCTGAGGGTCTTACATTAACATTACATGAGCATGGTTTACTTTGGAGTTTTATTAATATGGATCATAATGTTTACCCATGGTTTTCAGGGTTTGTTCAAATAAAAATCTAGAAAACTAGAAAAAAAGTTTCCAGAAAGGAAACTGGCTTTAAGGATTTCATACCGTACCTGTTGCAATGCTGATTCCATGGAGACAATTGTTTTGGACATTTCCAAGAATAATCGAATCCAAAATGATGTTAGATTTTATCAGGGAGGCTGCAACAGGCACTGGCTTGTTTGTGGATCTATGGACAAATATTCAGATATGTTCACAGATGTGTTTTACATTCGTATGCAAAGAACAACAATTCATGATTACAACTGGTGACAAAGTAAAATTTCTCTGCTTCTTCAATGTTTTCCTCAGTTTAACACGAGGTACTAGTTGTATATCACCAGTTAAGAACCCACATTTATGAGGACCTGCAATGACAAAAGGCTTTCCATAGCCTGTTACCCCAACCTTAAGCATCTCAACTAAATACCTAACCCTAGCCCTTAACTAAACCAACATCTAGTTCTAACCTTCATGTTGAAAAGTGGTGGGGACCAAAAAGCCTCAGATGAAAAATGGCATATCAAAAGAACATGAGCTACTACAGAGTCAACGATATGAAAATACTTAGCATAAAAAACAACATTAAACATTGACTGTACAAGTAACACTCATCTATATGCATCACAATCACAGTTTGCGAGACCATGTCAATCAAACAATGCCAATATCACATCTATTGTAGAAAGCACCAGTGCATGTTAGTCAGCCCAATAATAACAATATCCAATATCACTGCCCTAAAATATGAAAAATAGAAACAACTGAAGGAATAACATTAACAAATAAGCTAATAATAAATTAACCTACCTTTAGATGCTAAGTTAAACGTCTTAGAGAAACAATGTTCACAAGAATCAAGTTCAATAAATCATGAGTCATTCTAAGTATAAAGTTTAAAACTTCAGTGCCTTAAGACGTCTGAAGACCTGGCCTTGCTGTTTAATATCACAAACCCAACTCAACTGTTAACTATGTTCACTGAGAGAACATTTAAAAATTGGCCGAGAAGAAATGGTGTCAAAAATTTGTTACAGCTACTGATTGGCGCATGTACATTTTTGGGTCATTTCAGAATAAGTAGGCTAGAGGGGCTTTTTTATTTTTTGCTTACATAAGTTTTTCTGACAATGTGCATTTTTTTCTTATATATTTAGGTTGCATTGTATGTTTTCTTATTGTGCAAATACACCTAGGGCATCATAGCTAACTAGCATAACAAAGGATTTTACCCAACATCAAGTCCATCTGTGAGACACAGAATGCGAAGTCTACAGTCTGGAAACTCCCTCTTCACTTTTTCCAGCTCAAGCATTCCATGTTTTAGGGCATCATACAGCATGGTTTGTCCATTGGCCTCAAGAGTGTGCACGTGTTCCTAAAAAAGGGAACAACTGTATCTATTTAAGTGTATTAGCCCATTATATTATGCTCAAGAACCCATATTGTATGGCATAAGGAAAGAAAGACCATATCTTAATCCTCAACTGTTATTTAAGACTCAGATGCACACTACAGAACTGAACAAAGGTAAGTTTGATATAATTAATGTTGTGTGAAGTACTGTATTACCTTAAACTTTTCGAGCGTCTCTGTAAATGTGTGGAGCGTTGTCACTGTAGAGTCAAATTTCACAAGGCCAATGACATGATGGAAATCATAAGCCATGCTCCGTGTTGCAAAGTTTTCAAAAAGCTCTTTTACAGCATGGATTTTCTGTATTTCCACACTCCCGTAGCACTTTTCAGCCATGGATGAGCTTGTGTCTATCAGCACCTGATGAAAGTAAAGTTTAGAAATGATTGAGTTGTACTTTATGTCATAGTGATCTTAGAGACCTTTTGTAATTTTGTGCCCTTACACTCCCCATACTGAGTTTTTTGTATGCCTAAAAAGAACTTGTGTCCATAATCTGACTGCTGCCACAATGTACTGACACACCCTGTAGTACAAACAAAAGTCAACAGTTTAGTTCCTATTTAAAGTGTTTGGAAACTTGCGAAGACAGATGTCTGCTCTCACAGTTTTCCGCCTGAGTCTGATTTATGCAGACTGATCTGAATTGAACTGAATTAGAACTGAATTATAACAATTTTCAAATACAATCCAAGTTAAGACTTAAAAAACACTTTTAAAAAAGTATATAATATATATATATATATATATATATATAGTAGCAAATGATCAAAATTACCAGTATGGCTTCTTTTGGAGTCCTGGTTGTGACAAATGAATGATCATCCCTATGGTCACCAGTTCTGCACAAAATGTGGACATTTCATATATTAGGTAAGATATTTATGTTATTTATTAAGTATCCAGACTTTGTGTTTCAGTTTAAACAGATAAAATTGCTATTTTTGCCCAACAGTCTAAACTCAATAATTCTTATTGACAAAGCAAAAACATGTTTTTAAAATTGTTTTTGTTTTGTGCAAAATTTATTATATATCAAACACTGAAATTTCTCATTTACAAAAGTATTCAGACCTTTGATTCAGTACATCGTTAGCTGCAATTACAGCTTTCACTTCCACTCTATAAGCTTTGCACACGTGGATATGGTTTTACCATGTTGTCTTCTTGTGATTTTGTATGTAATTTATTCTATGTAATGTCTTTTATCTGGACCCCAAGTCTGTAATTAAGTTTGACTGATTGATTTATTATGGGTTACGGACTGTTGATTGATGTGGAAAATGGCAATTTTATCCATTTCAAATTTAATCTTCAACACAATAAAATGTGGAAAAAGTGAAGAACACTTCCTCAAGCCACTGTATAGTTGTGGATTTGATTGTGTAAATGCCTAGTTAAACTTTTCTTCATCAGTATATGTTGATTTGCCCAATAGGTTTGGAATAGTACAAAAAAATTGAGGTACTCACCGTGCTGCCAACTTGTTCACATCCACATTTTCAGTCTCGCCAGTCAGACAATTATACACCTGAATCATTTCAGGCATTAGCTTGTTTTTCATCAGATAAACACCAACATTGTCTGCAAAAGAAAAAAGTACTTGTTTATAAAAACAGCAAGAGCACTAACATTACACATACAGTAATGTAGTACAAGTGAATGAAAAAGTGTGTCCAAATTTTTGACAGGTACGGTAGATCAGCACCACGGAGCACAAGAGAAATATTACAATGCAAACAGTGGCAATCTGTAGCTCCTCACTTCAAATTAAAGTACCATGTACCTTGGTATCTTAGCATAGTTCAACTTTTTGACAAACTGTGGAGAGATCGGTGCACATCATCTGACACATCATCTGTAAATAGATAAGTGTTTACCCCCAATTAACATTTATTCTTGGGGCATTAACAGACCACCAGGCAAGGGACACTGGCTTTTGTTACGGGCACATAAGTGAAGTATCCTCCCATCAAATGAAAACAGCTAGCACAAAGACCATGTACGTGGGAAAGCATGGATTCTCTGTCTTTCTTCAGCCACCAAATTCAGATTATTTTTTTTTACATTAAAGAAAAGGGTCATGTGTTGCCTATACTGTGCTGTATGTCCTACACTGAGACTAACATCCTGTTGCCCTTGTAGCACATAACTTAGGCCTACATTTATGAAATCACTGTTAAGACTGTTACAACACCAGATCCACCAAGACAAATGTCTGTATATTCATTTTACTAACACCCTGTTGATTTATGTAGTACCTTCTTTCAGCAAAACAAGACATGGGTCTTGAACTCCTAGATCCTTCAAACGTAGTGGTGGAGATACTTTGAGTAGAGGGAAAGCTTCTAGTTGCTCTGCCATGTTTCCAATAGTCTTCCCAGTACTTATGTGAAAGCTGTAATTTAAACACACAAATTACTTTACATGTTACTGCGTTTTGAAAACTTTGAGAACTGGGCCATCTGAGCACAAAACCAAAGCAAAGTGGACAGCAGTTAAGTTTTTTAATTTAATTATTATTCATAAAGCTGTATAAAACGTGTTGAGTGAGTTTATAGAGTAGTGTAGAATACTGCCAACACTAAGAGTCTATTGCAAATAGAAAAGAACTGATCTCTTTGGAAAATCAGCTAACATAAAATCAGTTACTATAATCATCATTAGCATTTATTTAATATTAGCTAGTACTGTTGCAATGTTAAACATTGTTACACAAACTAAACATGTAACCCTAAAACACTGTATGCATTTTGTACAATACATACAAATCTGTATAGCAAGGCTTTGTACACAAATGTGTGTTACTTTTTGAAACCTATTTTTAGGATATTTTTTGAACAATGAATTTGATAATACATACTTCTTGCCAGTCACACTGTCATGAGAAATCCAAAGATGATACGTTGAAATTAAAGGATGAACACTGAGTAAAATTTTCTCAGTGTTAGTGTCTCTCTTGAGTGACGTGTCTTTCAAAACCTCTTCAGTGCAGTTTGGAATCTTTTCTCCATCTTAACATAGGAATGGGAAAAAATTAACAACATATAATTTTTTGTTGCCTCAGCCAGTTTGGTAACAGGCACTCTCAGCTACAAAGAATTGTTTATTCTGAGTTAGTAGGTTTATTTCCATTATCCTGCTCAATGTACAATTTGAAATTGCAAAGTTTGAAACAAGTATTGGAAATGTTTTTTGTTTTTTTTAAACTCAAAAATGCAAAAAAACAACAAAAAACAAACAAAAATAACGTATACGCTCACATGACATGGTTTTTCAGACTATTCGACAAAGCAATAATTTTTGCAAAATTTAAATTAAAACACTTTTTTCGCATTCAAATCGTGGCCAATCCAGACCAACTGCTAGAAATCCATCGTATACATCATTTAATTGGGATGATACTGCAAAAACCCAGCGTTATTCACATAACATAACTTAATGGAAACACAGACAATTTGCATTTGTGTTTCACTTTTCTTTAAAAAACAAACAAACAAATAAAAAAACTTCTATTTTGTGTGCGATGGAAACCCGGCTACTCTCATGTATTTTCTCTAAGTAACACTTCCTGTTCAACTCTCCTGCCACGCTTGCCACACACCTCTCCATGACCAGCCCATCTCCTGTTCACTGCCCAGCCTTCATTCACTTCTCTGCTCTGCACGACAAACTACCATTTCCCCTTTGCCATCAGCCTCCACCTGCTGGAACCCCCATTTCCCCATTCCTCCTCATCTGCTGAAACAAAACAATAAATCTACACATTTGAGTTCATCTGTTAGTCGAAAGACTCACAAATATTTTTTTCACTAATTAGCTCTATTACATACACTTCATGAAACAACTAGAAATTTTGGTATCAGAGGTTTTTTTCCTTTTAATGTTGTTTAAATTACAGGCATGGCTTTCAACGCTGTTGTTTCCAACCACACTAAATAAAAGTTGTAGTTAGTAACTGACCAAAACTTGTTTTCATCAGTTTAAAATAAAACCTTTCTCCACTCAGGAACCACAATGTTTCTACTGTAGGTTTTGATTAAACTGGGGCTGTGCTCAAAAACTGTGTGCTTGTCTGACCATTTGGATTTAGCTGTAGCACTGATAATACATCCCTAGATCTAAGCAATTAGTAAAATGTTGTAACCCACACCATTGATCCATGATACATATGACCAAAACAGGACAACAAAGACCAAGGCACTTACATGTATGCAAAATGTGTACATATTTGCATATTTACATTTGCATAAAAGGTGAGTTTTTTAACCTTTGATTTTCTGCAGCACAACTGCTCTTTCCAAGGCACCTGGTATTCCAGGAACTTTGACTGGTTCGCGGAAATGGCTGCCTTCTTCAGACATGAGAGAACATGGTGCGTAGTTCTCATGATCTGATGTCTCTTCCTGTAAAAAAAAATACAAGGCATTACATGACACATTAGGCAGTACTGGAAGTCTATCATTTCTCTATAACACTTCTGTAATTGTGTTCCTGAGTGTAAAAATTACATGGTACTTTCAGAAATACCGCTTCTTAACACAGTTGACACAAAATTCACAACACTATTGAAATTATGCGATAACACAACATACATTTTAGAATAACAGACTTTATGGAGGCAACCATTTGTAACAGAACACTAAGGGCTCATTTGTTTGTAATTGGTTACATGAAGATATTTACCCCAACACATGTGAATATAGATTTGCACTCTAAATTAATTTGGAAATACCTTTGCCTCTGACATGAGGTATGCCCAGCAGTGTGTCGAATACTCAAAGACATCAAGGTCCTCAATGATCTTTTCCCCCCGTTCTTTTTCAAGTTTTGGCAAAAGCTCTCTAAAGAGCGTGTACAAGCCTTCGACCACTGCGATCTACAGGAAAAGAAAACAGTTATGAGCTAAAATTAAATCTGATTCACTCAAGGTCATGTGAGAAACCAAAAATAGGTAATAAAAGTATGTGTGATTTACCTTTTGAGTCTTGGATATGATTTCATTCTTGCAGAATAACTGATACAAACTTTGGGCCAGAGGGTTACATCCGGTTAGTTTCCGTATGTAGCCAATCAAATTCTTGTATGAACCCACTGGAGGTCTAAGTTTCTAGATGAGGAGAATATTCAGATATATTAAAAACTGTAACTAGTAATACACACCATTTAATAATTTAAGTGTTTTTGTTAGTACAGTGTTTACATTTCTTTGTGCAGAAAGTATTTTTAAGATGTAATCATTTTGTCTGTTGTTGTCTTACTGAGGGTTAGAAGATCAAAATCAATTGTATCTCTATGCATTGAATAGGCAAAGCAAAATAGATGAAGGGGTTAAATAATTTAAAAAAAATAGAGAGATAGGTTTTTGTACTACACATGGCTCTTACAATGATATACAGTGACGACAAGAGGGCACTGATTCCTTTCGGGGTTTGTTGCACTGAGGGCTTAACATCATCTTCGAAGAAAACTGTGGAGTCTGGAAGCTCCTCAGAAAATGAGGACAGTGAGAAGTGCACTGTGGACCCCTCTGAGATTCCACAATTTTCCAATGTGTTGCCAGTGCCAGTTTCTCCTCTGAAAATGTAGTTGATGAGCACATAAACAAACAGAACTGAGTGTTAGTGATAAAAAAAAAAAATCAGATGTTATTGTTAATAATCAGATCAAAGCCTCTGCTATCCATATATCACAATAATTCTGAATTACTTGTAATGAAGAACATGCGCTGGGATCCCACTTTCATTTGCAAGCTTCTTCTTCAGATTAGCTATCGTGTCTTTTTCCAGGTCCACATTCACCTCGAAGTCTCCCTGTATGAGTATTATTATTATTATAAGATTTAAAAACAAAAACAAAACATCAACATGTGTATGATGTTCTCATCCCAATGTAAATTCTATTGGAGGAACTAATGGGCTCAGTGAAAGACACTAACGAACATACTTGGACAGGCCACACAAAATCTGAAAAAGGAAAAAGGCTTGGTTATATTCTCCTTCCCAGTAACATACATCTAGCTAAACCACCTCTACTGCAAACTTTTGAACATCATAACCCCAGTGAATTAAACAATGTAAATACAGAATAGACCCATATTCTGTAATGAAACAAGGTGGATCTACCCACCGTTGCGCATATCACAAAGTCAGGGAAAGAATATAAACAATGTTATGACAATGTTATAGTTCCTACTCAGTAATGAGACAAGATGAAATAAAAGTTATCTGGATATCCCAACTTCAGTTAAGAGGAGCCTAAAGCAGCTTTTCTGATCTTTGTAGCTAGAACTGTATCATGCAGTGGATGAGACAGTACCAAATGGGGTTAGAGATTAAACTGTAGGACTCATAGAATATGTTCTGCAGTTTAAGCCTGTAAAATTTGGGTCAGTTTTGGGTGAGTGCAACAACTATGGCTTTTTCTGCTGATTTCATTGACAAAGCCTTTTGCATAGAGGCTCAAAAACAAATGAAACTCACCTTGAGCATGACATGGCACCGAACTGTATCCGTTCCAAAGGTTTCATTTCCCAGTTGCTGGGAATTTGGAGGAGCTGTATTCAAGTTCTCCTTTGGTGTAAATATAGCATAGATTACATCTCCACTTTTAATGTGTCTGTCTTGTAAAGACCCTATAAATAAAACAAAAACAAATGAACCACTTTAAATATGTTGTTGCATTATAGAATTTTTTAATTAATTTAAAATAACAATAGCTGCTCGAGGATGTTGAGCTTTTGTTAAAGTCGGAGGACAGATTTCTGGTTTGTCTTTTTTTTTTTTCTTTTAAATCTGTGTGTCATTATAATGACAAATGTCTTTAGTTAATAAGTTACACTGATTCAGTGTTATAACAATATAAAATATGTTATTATATCAAGAGAATGTTCTTGTAAAAATAATTACATAACATGCAGTAACATTATCATTTCTTACATTGCCTTATTTATCAACATACTTTTAGGCATACTTTTTACACTTCAAAATATAGTCACTATGGTGCATAATCACACTGGAAAATATCCTCACACCCTCATATACCTTCATTATTTATTTTAAAACTGAATGAGCTTACATGTGTTGAAGAAGGGATCGTCTGTCAGGGGCATCCCATCAAATGTGTAGAGACAGACACCCTTGGATGAGGGAATACTTTCAAAATGGCAAATCCTCAACATCAAATCTTCAATTGTATTTTGGGCTGGATCCATATCTGTATGTTCAAATTAACAAAATTAAATGTATACCATGGTGTGTAAATACCATAATAATTGTTGGTTTAATACAGGGATCTTTACACAATCAGTGGCAGTATTTAATGCAAAATTTAATGCTAATTGTGTGATATTATAATGCCTGAAAATTAACTGCACTGTCATTGTTTAACCTTCCTTCTGTCTCACCCTACTTCCCTTCATTGTGTTTTGGTTCGTTCTGTATTTCCTGTCCCCTACCAACCTTTGTAGTGTCTCAACCTGCATCATTTAATATATTTCTGAAGTAGGTGTGTCTCAAAGCACATTCTTGCTCAGAAATCAGCAGCAACAGGAACCACGTGTGAACATTTTTCCCTGATCTGTTTAAGCTCTGTAAAAATAAACTTCATGAACAAAAAGAGGGTATAAATTATATGATTTTCTTACCTGTGATGTGTTTCAGTTCTGGACATTTGGGATATGTGTACTGCAGAGAGAATGACTTTCCTGACTTTTGCACTGGCATCGCAGCTGGGTGTGCTGGGGCTCTAAATCTGCCAATGGTTTTTTTCATCGTGGAATAACGATTCTTTTCCACCTGACTTAATCCTGTTTGGAAATATAAATTTTGCTTATTTTCAGATTTAAAAATGACAACAAACAGCTCTTACATTCAACTCTGACGTATCAAAAAAAATAATTATTATTATTGGATTATTTTTATGTATTTAATTACAAAAGAAATTTATAATGCAAGCATGTGAAGCACATTATTGGATCTTAGGGTTATTCTAAAAAGCAAGATTGGGGTGAGCATTAGAGAAATAGCTCACAATTATTTTTTAGACAATCAAACCTGTTTTTACCCCTAAGCAACTTCTGTTCTCAGTATAAGTGTAATGTGATGTACTCATATAAGATCATGCGTGTTTCCTGATCAACAAGTTTCAGTTTCCTTCTTAATACTGAAACCCTCTCTTCTGCCTGATTTGGCCTATTAATGCCCACCAAGTCCTTCCTTCTTCTTTCAACATGGTTTTGTTAGTATATTCCACTGGTCCAAGGCATGCCATTCACATTAGAGGAGCAAGAACAACCAATGTAATGTGTAAATTTGTGGACGCCCTTCAAGCACAGCGTTTTTGTTGAGTTTGAAATCATCTTATTGATAATTGTCTTCAGTACATTTAACAAAAACATTAGACTTGCAACCACCTCATTTATATTTAGTAAACTTACCAAGGTTGGTTAAGTCTTCCTCTGTTACACTATCAATGAAATCTCTTTCATCCTTCACACCTAACTGTAGAAACTTGTTGTAGTAAGGCTCTAGTCTGTGCTTCTCAAGTAGGTTGAAAATCGCATCCATCTAAAACATGATAAGCAGATGTCAAAACATTATAAGAAGCCAGAGATGTTCAGTTATATTTATTCTAGATGTTTAATCGTATGTATTTATATGTTTGAGTTGCAGAAGCTTACCTTCATGTGTTCCACAATCGAGTGCATCAGTTATGTCGGATTGGTTTCGATTTGTAGCATTTCTGAGATATTGAAAGTGTGGCTTCTTTGATGGAAACGAAACTAGTAGGCTGAGCTACACACAGCTGCACAAATAAATATCCTCCGTCGCGTAGCGCAGTGGGTTACGCCCCATATACAGAGGCTACAGTCCTCGCTGCAGCTGGCCCCCGGTTCAACTCCCGCGACGGACAGCCCTTTCCTGCGTGTCATTCCCCCTCTCTCTGCCTCCCCATTTCCTGTCTCTCTACTGTCCTGCCCATTAAAGCCACAAAAAGCCCCAAAAATTCTAAAAAAGAAAAAAAAAAAAATCCTTTCATGCACACAATGCGAAATGTTGCAGGTTATTACCTTGTTTTGTGCAATAATCACATCACCCTGCTTATTACTGGAAGGATGAAAAAGCTTTGTATATAATGTATATATTTAAAAAAATAAATAAATTATTGTATATAATTGTTACGGCCGCCGCTCTGTCCACTTTTGTTGTGTCTAATTTTCCTCTGTCTGCCAAGCTGCCTGCACAATCAGCCCAGATGCTCCACCCTCTCTGTCCTGATTGGTACGCCCTCCAGGCTCCTGGCAGCTCAGCATTCAGCTCACCTGGGTTCCTGATTGGTGCGGCCTGTTTGCAGCTGGCCAATCCCCGCCGCCCAATCAGGAGCCAAAAGCTACAACACTCCTGCCAGCCTGTCAGCCCGGGCGGCTGACTGTTAGTGGCAGCTTGCCTCTTTGTTGGAAGTTTGTTGTATTGTGAGAAAGCCAAGATAGCAGCTATTGGTACCTTGTTGTGTGTGTGTTTTGTACTCCTTGTAATCTTTAAAATCTGGAAGTGGGGCCAGGTTTAGATTTTGTTAATAACTGACTGATTCTGCTGATTCCTCCACCTGTAGACATTGTGTTTGTTATATACACTAGGTGCAGGGGTGCTGTTTCTGTTGTGTTTTTGGTTTTTAAATGGCTTTGGTAGCCAGCCTTGGTTTTCCTTTCACTTTGAATTAGTTAAATGATAACACTGATTAGCTCCTAGAGAGTCCTCCTTTTGTTATATTCTGTTTTTGATTTGAACAGCACCCACCGGCCCCGTTCCTTGGTTTATTTTGTCTATGTTAACCATTATCTTTACAAATTTAAGTTACAATAAACAACCTTATACCTGTTAACAACTGGGTTTTGTGTTGCTTCCCTTTCCCCTGTGAGCCGGGTTGTAACAATAATGTATACCCACTGCCATCAGGCTGTATGACACCTCAGGCAAAGGCAGTAGCTCATGACCTGGACTATTGAACTTATATTCTTTATTATTAACTATTATTATTAACTATTATGACTATTATTGTTACTAATAGAATGAATTTCCCATAGGGGAAAAGTCTATCTATCTATCTATCTATCTATCTATCTATCTGTCTATCATCTATCTATCTATCTAGCTAGCTATTAACCTATCTATCTATTTGTTGTCTCTGTTGTCATTTAGAATTTTAGGAACTTCACCACTGTTTAATACAGGTTCTGATAAACTAGTGCTACGAAGGGTTTAACAAACGTGCCAAAGCAGAGAGGTCCAGCTGCCTCAGTGTGACTGATAATCAGTAAACCTTCTCTGGATCTCAAAATAATTGAGGCATAGGTGATACATTTTTAACAACTCTAATTACAAAATATTAACTTATTTCACTTCTATTAATGTCCTAATAATATCTGGCAATACTGGCTATAAACCTGAGCGAAAAACAAAACCTCAGTGGACAATCTATCTGAATACATGTTGATGATCTGTGTTAGAGGCCTGAAATAAGTTGACTGAGGACATAGTTTATTGTGAAACAAACCTGCAGCTGATGTAAAAAACTGATCAAATGTACACTCATGGAGGTATGTAAAAGTATAATTACAGTAGATCAATCATCAACACAACCAATATGCTGAAAAAACCTTTTACATTGAATAGGTACAAACAACACAGGGCTGAGGCCCAGCCACCTTCCCTCTGTTTCAGTGCCATCTGTAATTAACTTTGTGTGTTAAATTCATGTACCTGAGGGTTACGTGAATAGCCAGTGACAACATACCAATAGATATGACTGACAACATTGTGTAATAGTTTTATCTTGATGAAAATTACTACTGGCTAAAAGATCACAGTACTAAATACTCTTAACTAAAATAGAAAACAGATAATTTACCTATGTGTCAGAGTTTAATGCAAGAAACTCTCATGTGAGTAACATCCTGTTCAAGATGAGTTCGCTCAAATAGAAGACCTACATATTCTTCAGTTACTAGAACAGTCGAGCTCCACACTTCTTTTTGTTCTTCCTTATATGGTAATGACATTACAAAAACAGGAGACAGAAACATATAGGCCAAATCATGAAATTAGTCAACAACTATCTAATCTTGACCATCATTTGAGTTTTCACTCACTCACACATACATATACACATAGGAAATAGTATTAATAATATTTTTAGCACAGCTGGGCATCTTGCTCAAAGGCCAACCCAAGGCTAATTCATTTGTTGGCTAACTAGCTAGTTAACAGGCTAAGCTAACAAGCCAAGTATGATCGGGCTATGCTAGCTAGCTATGGTCTGCTATGTAGTGCTAACATAAAATAATACAAGAATTCCACAAAATACAGGAGCACAGGTTTACCCACGTTTTGTATCCGTATTATTTGTCCGATACTTGCATGTAAAATCTTCCAACAGGCACCGACACCACAAACACGGCCGAGAGGTCACGTTCAGTGACTTGAATTAGCTGAAGTGACGCCGCGTGCGCAGTCAGTTAATGGACAGTGAGGGTACCCACCTGTCACTCAAATACATAACTTTAAGCCTTAATAAAAATGTCAACAGGTGAATTATATAAAAATTCACCCATCACTCAGTTGTCATGACGGGGGAAATTAGCTATAGAGAACAAAACTGTTTTTTGTACCACGTTGTAAACATGTTTATTTCTGCTGTAAAGTTGGACGTTTTAACATGGGAATCTATGGGGATTGACTCGCTTTAGGAGCCAGACTCTTGTGGTCATTAGAGGGACTGCAGGTATAGTGACTTCCGTGTTGGCTTCATTTATCAGCTCCGGAGGTTGCCGCTTGTGTGTGCTCTGATCTCGATCGGGCACACACAGGTAAATCATCTCTAGCTTTCGGTACGGGGCTTCACAACTCCACTACGTGGACTTCGTTAATTTTGTCTCCCGCTGCCTGCAAACCTCCACTGACCGTCCCTTTCCTGCTCCGCCTGAAAACCACACTGCATCTGTTTAGCTCTGCCAAACTCTCTGCACCCTCCTTACATACTCCTGCCCGGCTCTGCTCAGCTCTCTTGCCCCCGTTTCAAGCCTCTGACTCGGCCCAACCCTCCATGCTGACAGGCAACGCTCCCCAGTCAATTCTCTGCTCAAAAGCCTTTATTATCTGTATAAACGATGAGTCCCTAAAGCCATCTACCAGTGGCGGAAGAAGTACGCTATTCAGCTTCTTCAGTAAAAGTAGTAGTAATACCACTGAAATAGTCTGTTCAATTAAAAAAAAATTAAGAGTATTATCAGGAAAATGTACATTTGTTAGACTACTATTCATGCATTAACAGCATTTTAATGGCACACAAAATAAAAGGCTGTTGTTTGCATAAATAATGTATCGTATTACCTTGCATTCAATATATTTTGTATGTAAAATATTTATTTGTAAAGTAGGCCACTAGTATCTATACCTGTCGAATTATGTGAGTAAAAAGTAGGCCTACATTTCCCTCTGAAATGTGAAGGAGAAATGAAGGCTATAAAGTAGAATATAGAAATATTAAAGTAAATAGTTAGGGTTAGGGGTAACAAGTACTTCATACTGTACTCAAGTACAATATCTCAGAAAATAAATTCTACCACTGCCATTCACAACATTACAACTGAAAGAAATGTTGGATTTCCATGTACAAGGTGCCTTAAATCTTTACATTGCATTTGCAGCTTTTCAAAATTTTCAGCATTGTTATAAAATATGGTGGTGGCCCCTTCAAACACTTAATTTACTGTGTTGTCATTTTCAGTTATTTTGTAGAATGGGTTTTTGTCTATAATTTTACAGATTTGCTGCAACTGTTCCCAAAACTGTGTCTTGCCTGCATTTTTATATGATAAAGATTTATCATGACAGTTAGGTAAACCTGATAGAGACAGACTTTGACCTACAGATCAAGTTATGTTTTAAACTGGTGTCAGACATAATAATCATAACCTGTTAAAGAAATCATTGTTTTTTCATGCAGGATAAAGGTGTAACTGGGGCACAGGTCAGGTGGCAGCCTGTGCGTTGACCCTGTCAGTCCTTGGTAGCCTGGTACAGGCTGAGTTAATGACTGAGGTAAACATGATAAATGTCATTCACCCCTGCCAGCTTCAGTATTTCCTTTCGCCGCACAGCTGCTGAGTTTAACTAGTCTTATCGCCTCCACGTGGAAGGAACCTAGATCCATGGGAAGTCCATGGTCACTGTTTTTTTCTCTCTCATTGAAGGGGCTTAAAAAGGAGGGTCAAGGCTGAGCAGGTGACATCCTGGATAAATAGGGACTGAGCAAGGCTGCTGATGCTTTCTGGAGCTCACTGACTCACTTTTTCTTTTTTTTTTTTAAGGATACGTCTTTCTTCACTATGTTTTCTCTTGAAGAGAAGATTACAAGCAGAACTTGCTCTGGTTACCAGGATCAGCATCCTCACACGATCCTTTATAACATCTTGAGCTGGAGGGACAGCGACTACCTCAACAACAAACTGAACTCTAACTCCGTAGCACACAACTGCCACTGTGAGCAGAGGAGGGCAGTTTGCCTGAAGGACCCAAAGGCCACCTGTCAAGTTGCCTCCGGCGTGCTGGTCAAAACCGTCTGCTTCATGAGAAGTTTACCCTCCTTCAGTCAGCTTCCACTGGGAGATCAGTCATCACTGTTAAGACACTGCTGGGTGCCTTTATTTGTGCTGGGGCTTGCACAGGAAAGAATGGAGTTCGAAGTGACTGACGTACCAAATTCAAGTATC